GGCTTTATAGGGCTTTATAGGGCTTTAGGGCTTTAGGGCTTTAGGGCTTTAGGGTTTAGGGCTTTAGGGTTCAGGGTTTAGGGCTTTAGGGTTTAGGGTTCTAGGGTTTGAGGGTTTGGGGTTTAGGGTTTTAGGGTTTAGGGTTTTAGGGTTTTAGGGTTTAGGGTTTAGGGCTTTAGGCTTCAGGGTTTAGGGTTTAGGGTTTTAGGGTTTTAGGGTTTAGGGCTCAGGAGTGGCTTAGGGAGGTTTTTTTGGGAGGTGGGGTTGCTTGAAAAAAACCGGGACTCGGAGTGGAGGAGTTTAGGATTCAGGGTCCCTAAACCCTAAACCCTAAACCCTAAACCCTAAACCCTAAACTCTAAACCGGCTTCCGAAACCCCAGAGCCACAGAAGAGAGCTGACCCTTCCTTCGACTCGGCCCATTGGGACGACGCCCAAAAACGCCTAAAGCGGATGCCCCGGTGCCCGAAGGACAGAGTTTGCCACTCAAAGTTATCACTCTCAACCCTCAGACCCTTGAACTTCTACCCGAACTCCAAATCCTCCGTGCCCAGGCTTTCGGGTTTAGGCTAATTAGGAAATAAGGGTTTAGGGCTAAACCCTAAACCCTAAACCCGGTAAACCCGAAACCCGAAACCTTACTACCCTAAACCCTAAACCCTAAACCCTGAACCCGAAACCCTGAACCCCATGCCCTGACAAAGTCAGGGAGCGCCGGTCGCAAACGCCCTGCCAGCTGGACGAGGCCTCAGCCAGGAGTGTGTCGGAGTTTGGGATTCGAGATTTGGGGTTTAGGGTTCGGGGTTTAGGGTTTGAGGGTTTTAGGGGTTTAGGGTTTAGGGTTTGAGTTTTAGTGTTTTGCGCTTCAGGGCTTTGCGACTTACGGTTTCAGGGGTGTTTTGGCTGGCGAGTGACCGGCTATTGGACAGTTCTGAGTCTGGAAGATGAAATGTGCCCTTCCATTCACCGCACCGACATCTAGGGCTGGGTTTCCTTGAACCCTAAACCCTAAACCCTAAATTTCAGGTTTAGGGTTAAGGATTTTCGTATTCTGGTTGAGGCATTGACGATTGACGGTTCGTGGCCTTGCTTGGGGCTTTGTGTGTTTTTTGCCGAGCTCAAAGTTGTGTAAGACCGGGCCAGAGAGGTTTGGGGTCTAGGGTTTAGGGTTTCGGGTTTAGGGGAATACATCGACTTGTCTCTTGTGGTAACTGTTGCTGTGCACTTAAAACCCCCAAACATAAAACCCTAAACGACGCATGCCTGGCGACTCCCTGTCGAATCCTTCCCGATCTGCCGAGGTGGGGAAAATCAGTGCTGGGGCAAAGGCCATGTGCTTCCAGCCTTTTTAGGGTTTAGGGTTTCGATGCACTCTATTTTGGACGCAGGCCTACTGTTTTGCGCTACTCGTCGCGTCGTAGCTGCTTAGCATGCAGATTGGCTGACAAGCACAAGTTCAGCAGGCATTTGCACAAAGCAGAACAGGGGCTGTTGTCTTTTTCTAGCTTGGGGCATATAGTTGCTATCTGATAGTCGTGTGCTCTTGTCCGCTGCTGCGACGGATCAAGACTGTTCCCACAATTCCTTTCAGGAAAGGTGCTAGTCCCACTTTGTTTGCGATATTTCGGGAAGATGATGCTTGGCTCCTTTTGCAGAACGCTTCCCTCGTTTGTTCTGTATGGCACCAACCACTCTGAAAACCCTAAACCCTAAACCCTAAACCCTAAACCCTAAACCCTAAACCTTAAACCCTAAACCCCCGACCTCGAGCCAAGGTTCCGTTTGTTCCAGCTGTGCAGTGTCGTCGTCTTGGCTTCGCTTCGCCAAAGTGCCTCGGTGCGCCCGGCACGCAACATGGACGACCAGGCCGATGCGATGCAGGCCGTGGGATTGCGCGAAAGACGCCCGTGATCTTTCTATTTAGAGTTTCCTACGCCTCTCAATTAAAGTAAAGATTACATACGAGACCTATTGAAGCAGTGATTTATATATATATATATATAGATATAGATAGATATATCATATATATATATATATGTATAATATGTGTGTATTTATTTATAGTTTATTCTGACTTTCATGTGTAAGGACCCAGGCACACTTCATCAGCAGGCCTCAAGTCAATCTTTAAAACAGCCCAGACCCATCTAGCATAGGCACTTCGCGACCCCCTGAGTCTCGCGCTTGAACTCTGAATCCCAAAGCCCCAAGTCTTGTGCTCCCCGAAAGCCCAAACCCAACACATTTTGACACCCTTCCCTGAAGCCCCCCCCTAAACCCTAAACCCTAAACCCCAAACCCTAAAGCCTAAAACCCTAAACCCTAAACCCGAAACCCTAAGCTTTTCAAACCCCACAGTAAACCCTGGCCAGGGCAGGTCTGAGCCTCAGCTCAAGAGCAACGTGAGTCAAGCTGGCCGCTTGGCACCGGTCAGGGAAGTGCTATATGAGAGTTTCCGAAAATACGGGGTACCTTATTTTGGGGTCCTTATAATAAGGATCCTGCTATTTAGGGTACTATATTGGGGTCCAAAATTTTCGGAAACCCCTATATACGGACTACTAGAAGGGAGTATAAAGGGACGGCAAAAGGGATCCACTCTCCCATTCCCTTTTAAGCACCCCAGTCAGTATCGCTGAACCTTGAACCCTAAACTCTAAACTCCAGACACTCAGCCCTGGAACCTGAAACGTTCTAAGAGTATATGATCATATGGGTAGGTCTCTAAATTAGGGACCCCTTTCTGGCACCCCAAATAGCACGGCGCCCTTCTAACAGGGATCCAAAAGGGACCCTAATTTAAAGATCTTTTTTAAAGGGTCTTTAGAGTGTTTTGAGAATTGGCTTCGTCAGGGTCTTGTAGGGCTGCAGCTCTGAAGTAGTCAACTCTTGATGAACCCTAAACCCTAAACCCTAAACCCTAAACCCCTAAACCCTAAACCCTAAACCCTAAACCCTAAACCCTAAACCGTAATGGAAGCCTTCAAGGGCTCCTCTAGCGGATCGGACAGGACCTCCGTACCCAGCTTGCGATCGGTCGAAGTCCATTGCAGCGCAAATCCCGGCAGTTCAATGCTCGTGTCATGCGCCGATGAAACCCGTGGATGCTGTTCTTGTGACAGAAAACAATGCTGTTCTTTTTAAATTCTACCGAAAGAAGGCTTTTTTGTTTGGTTCTTGGCTTTTGCCACTCCTAGGCTGGCGTTTCATTAGAGCATTGTTTATAGTTACCCGTCATGATGAAGCCTCGAAGGATATGAGTGGCGGCTGCGGCTCAGTCTGTGGCAAGAGAACGGCCGGCAAGCATTTCGGTGATACCCTCATGAACGGTGTCTCGGGCTCCTCCTCCACACCGGAGCTCTTGTCCGGGTTGATCAAGGGCATCTTTTACGTGGGCCTGCATGCCGCAGGGGCTTTGCCGGATAAAGACAAGCTCCAGGTTTGTGTGAGCACCTTCGACTTCATCCACACCAAGTGCCCTGCCCGGAAGCAGAAAGGCTGCAGAATGGTGGACAATTTCGAAAGACAGCCTCGGTGCAGTCGTGTTTGGGCAAGCCTCGGCCCCGGCAGCGGTGACGGGTCCTACGTATGCGAAATGCTCGACTGGTGGGATGCCTGCTGCGAGGACAGAGAGCCCCTTCCCCTGGAGGAGCAGTCCTGCGCAGGTTGTGGCCAAGACATGTACTTCTGCAACTGTGCCAATATCGGCGACGGTGTGAGGCCCACGCATTAGTGGCCCAGGCACCGGTAAGAAGGATGCGGAAGGACAGCGATGACAGCTCTCAGAAAAGGCAAGTCCGATGAGTTCCCACTCTTGCGGTGCTTGTCCGGGCAGATCTTGTAGCTCCCAAAACATACAACAAACACATGCTAGGCCCCCTAATCCTTGCTTGCAGGGTGTCTTGCACCCGAAGATAGCAGGTAGGGAGCCGCAGGAAGACCTCAGCTTCCAACGAAGTTCAAGTGCACAGCAGGAGATCCAAAACAGCCGGGCCAAAGGCGGAGATCCCAACCGTAAACCCCTGAACCCTAAACCCTAAACCCTACACCCTAACCCCTAAACCCCAATCCCTAAACCTAAACCCAAAACCCTACACCCTAAATTCCTAAACCGCTTAAACCCCTCAAGCCTGCACCCAAAACACAGGGGACCGGAAACCAGAGACTCAAACGTAGGAAAGAAGTAGGTAGGAAACATAGGGTTGAGGGTTTAGGGCTTCGGGCACATGTAATGTGGGGGTTTAAATAATCATAACAACAATAACAATTACCAATGCTAGTTTGCGGGTTCCTTATGCAAAGGTTCCGTTGCAGTCGGTGCTTTGTCACTGCCCACAGCCTTCCTTGTGTTGCGTGCGCCCGTTGCAGCCGTGCCTTACACACTCTTGAAGCCGTCGCCTATCGGCTGCTGTTTTCGACGGACCAAGACAGTTCCCACATTTCCTTTCAGGAAAGGTGCCAGTTTCGATTTGTTTGCGACATTTCTGGAAGATGATGCTGGGCTCCGCTTGAGGAATGCTTCCCTGTTTTGTTCTGTCTGGTACCAACCTCTTCAAACTCGGTGGGAGCCCGACCTGGCAGCAACCAAGGTTCCGTTTGTTCCAGCTGCAGTGTCGTCGTCTTGGCTTCGCTTCGCCAGAGTGCCGCGGTGCGCCCGGCACGCAACATGGACGACCAGGCCGATGCGATGCAGGCCGCAGGGTTGCGGCAAACCCCGAAACTTAAACAGCTCCAATAAATATAGGCGCCTAAATAAGTACCTATTATAATTATAGTATTGCTGGCCCGAGAACCCTATTCTAATTATCAAGGCCCGTACATTGCCCTGAATTTCCCTGAACCGTAAACCTGCCTCACTCCTCGCTGCTACGGATAACTCCCTCACATGCCAGTCTGGCACTTCAAATCGCTCTGTGGAGGTTTCCCGGTCAACAAGCCCATCAAAAAATCATGAATCTCTTTTCGTTCAAGGGCCTCAATCGTCGGATCCTTATCATTATCTGCCATCTTTATTACGGGAGGGATCCGAATAGTAGCCGTGTGGTACAGAGCCGCAGCCGAACCTAATTTCGAACAAGGCTCGCACGTGGCACCTTTTAAAGCCTTTCAAGGGGCTACGGCACTGGAGTAGAATCCCCAAGCCGACAAACGAAGCAGGCCACCGTTGAACACGAGCTCATGACCAACATGAGTGAAGCCGGTCCCTGGGCACTGGTCAGGGAAGGGCAACCCAGACCATAATGTCTTTAGTATAAGGGTGTTGTAAGGGTATTGCACGGTCTGTATGAGGCTTGGGTTTATAAACGGGCTTTGAAGAAGTAGCAATGAGGTCCTTATCGTTCCTGTCCATTCATTGTATAGAATACCGCCGCAGCCCGTGTTTGATTTGCTGAGGCTCCTACAGTAGAGTCTTTGGAGCTTCAGGGCACTTAAGCCCTGAATCACCTTCAGCCACCCTAAACCGTAATCCCTCCAACGCCTTAGCCCCAATCTAAGTTTTGAAACTGTTGCATAGGGGTTGGAATAATTGGTATTGCAATCCACTTAATTCCTTACATATTTTCGGAAACCCCTCAAAGCCTGTTCTTATTGCGACGGCCCACCCTAAACCCTAAACTCTAAACCCTACACCCAAACCTGTTCTTATTGCGAAGGCTCGTAACCAACGATCCAACTCTCGACGATAGCGGGTGTGGCAAGATGAAACACAGAGGGTTTACGGTTTAGGTTTTAGGTTTTCGGGTAATTACTAGCAGTATCCCCTAGTAGTCCCAGAAAAACTATACTATACCGGAATATACCCCGCAGGGCTTGTTGCTGAGGAGTGTGTCGAGGGCCAAGCCTAAACCCTAGGTGCAGTGCAAGTACATACCACTGGACACTGCCATTGAAGCTTTTCAAACTGCTGCAACCCTTTGCCTTAGGATTTTAGGGTGTTTAGGGTTTAGGGTTTAGGGGCCATTGTTACCTAAACCCTAAACCCTAAACCCTAAACCCTAAACCGTGTTACACATCCAAGATCTGAGAAACGCCGAGGCCAGACTGGGACATGCGATCCAACGCTGTCTATTGCACAACAGATCCCGGCAGTGCAATGTTCCTGTGCCATGCCGATGAAGAAAGTGGACACTTGTGCTCCTACAAGAAGGTTTTTCATTCAAGGCCTCAGGGTTTGTGCAGTGATGATGAATTCATGCCGGACCCCAAACAGTTCAGGCCATGTACGTAGCAGTCCAAGCATGTCCAAGCCATATATACTTAAGAGCCATGGGACCAGTGATGATAGTCTAATCTCATTACTTCCAACGTAAGAACCTCAGGTCCACAGTGAAGAAGTTTTTATCTTCGGAAAGTTTGGCCGTTAATTCATAGATGGGGTGGAGCTTTCGGATGTTACGAAGTTGCAGTGAAGGATATGAGTTACTGTTCGCGAGTATGTGCAAAGGGCGAGGCCTCAACGCAATTTCGGAACACCGTCCTCAAGGGCATAGCGGGCACAGCCACAACGCCAGATGCGGTCGGGGGTATTATCAAGGCCGTCTTCTATGCGGGCCTCCACCTGTCAGGGACTATCCCAGATTGGAACGAGCATACGGTTTGTCTGTCCACTTTCGATTTCATCATGCGCAAGTGCGCTCGGGGTTTCAAGTGCATGCCCCATGACATGGACAGATCATGGAGATGCCACGGTGTTTGGGACAGCCTCAACAACCCCGGGGATTCCTACGTATGCAAAGTGGTCGAGTGGTGGGATGCCTGCTGCCCGACAAGAGACCCGCCTGCCCGCGATGAGCAGGATTGTGCAGGCTGCGGACCCCAACAAAAACTCGAGCCATTACCCCAAGCCATCGGTCCCTGAAGCCGTTAATCTTGAGTCCTACAACACCCTAACCACCTCGTCTAAACCCTAAACCCTAAAGCCCTAAAACGCTCAAGCTTACAAAAGGCCTTAGAAGAACCCTCAGTCCCTGGCTCAACTCCTATAGCCCTGAGGCTGTGGCCAGGACCAATACTTCTGCGGATGTTCCGAAATCGGCGACGGTGTGAGGCCCACGCATTAGTGGCCCAGTCGCACCGGCAGGAAGGCTGCTGAAGGACAGCGATGACAGCTCTCGGAAAAGGCAAGTCCGGTGAGTTCCCACTCCTGCGGTGCTTGTCCGGGCAGATCTTGTAGCTCCCAAAACATACAACAAACACATGGGTGGTTGTCAAAATTAGGGTCCCTTTTGGGGTACCCTAAATAACAGGTGCCGTATTCTCATAAGGACCCAAAAAGGGACCATAATTTTGACAACCACCCACATGCTAGGCCCCCTAATCCTTGCTTGCAGGGTGTCTTGCACCCGAAGATAGCAGGTAGAGAGCCGCAGGAAGACCTCAGCTTCCAACGAAGTTCAGGTGGCCAGGTTCGGAAGTCCAAAGAAGGTACGAAAAAATCCCAAGCCCTAAACTCCTCAACCCCGAAATCCTAAACCCTAAACCCTAGACCCCCTAAGCTGTAACCTTTATATCCTAAACCCAAAGCCCTAAACCCTAAACCCTAACCCCTAAGTTAGGGGTTAGGGTTTAGGGTTTAGGGGTTAGGGTGAGTAACCCTAGCCCCTAAACCCTAAACCCTACACCCTAAATCCTAAACTGCTTAAACCCCTCAAGCCTGAACCCAAAACATCCCGGACCCCAAGACAGGAGAGGTGCATGGGTTTTATCAGGGTGGGCTTCATACACTTCCAGAATTCCGAAAAGTGCCTTAAACCTAAACCTTCATAAACCCGAAGGCCCTAAAGCCCTAAACCCTAAACTCTAAACCGTCATAAACCCGATTGAAAAGAGCTCTTCACTGAACCTGAAATCCTTGTTGAGGTCCTTGCGTGCAGCCCCTGTCTGAAGGAGCCCTCAAAGGGAACAGCCACGGTATACTCACTGTAACCGAGGACCAAGATGTCGTAAGAGTGAGAAGATACTCATTGCATCAGTGTCGTTTTCTTATTCCCTAAGCCCTAAACCCTAAACCCTAAACCCTAAACCCCTAAACCTGCAAACTGCGGGTACGTAGGGATTTTTGGTCTGACCACCAGTGTCTTGCACGTCTGTTCTTACGACATGAATCCAATAGCTCCCCTCCAGTTCTGGAGCCCCAAACCCCTAAACACCCCAAAAAGCTTAACAATAGATCCGGAACCCTAAACCCTAAGCCCTAAAATCCTAAACCCTAAACCCTAAAACCCTATACACCTTACACCCTATACCCTAAACCATAAACTTAAGACTTCCTAAACCTCAATTTGCCCCAGCCCTGAGCCTTAAATCTTCAACACAACGGCCCTCGTTTTGAGCGGTGCCTTCAGGCGCTGGCAAGGGGTTCCAGTGAGCCGGCTGGCCAAATCTGCGTGGAAAAAAGCTGCGCAGATAAAGTAATGCAGGGGCCTAGATAATGACCTATACTATCTTGGGAGGTTCCTTATTATTACTATAGTATAATGGGCACCAAAACCCTATTCTAATTATTAAGGCCTCCACATTCATGCAAGTTTGGTTTAGAATGGCCATCGTTCATTGTCACGAGTCTTGTTAGGACCATAGCGAGCTCTGTCTGTGCATTCCTCAAGCGAATCCTAAACTGCATTGCATTTCCTACACTAGATCTTATTACCATGACGACCTTAGACCTTCAATTATTAGGGTTTAGGGTTTCGGGTTTAGGGTTTAGGGCTTTCACACCCGAATGGGTGTGATTAAGGATTCAAGGGGTTGGTGGCATAGTTCCTCGAGTCTGAAATGGTCTTGTCTATGGATCTTAGCCATCGGAAACTGACCTGCTGCGTGACAGTAGAAGCACATGCGTTAGCGCCCCGACGCAAATATCTGCGCAATATGCTGCTCTATCAATCTTTCGGTCTGCCTGTCTATCTCCGTATCTACCCATCTATCCATCTATCCATCCATCCATCCATCTATCCGATCTATCGATTATTTGTCTACTTCTCATATACCTACCTATACACCGATGCGTTTTCATTTACTTATCATATACCGTAATTGATTGTACGAGTACATGCCTGGTTTTCAAAGGCAGCTGAGGTTGGAGGTTCCGGCTGTCGCTTGCAGTCCTAAACCCTAAGCCCTGAACGCTAAACCCTAGGGTTTAGGGTTTAGGGAACCCTAAACCCTATTTTTGTTGTTGTTTGTCGTTGCTGCATCGGCTTTTCGGCATGAGGCATGTGTCATTTGCAGGAATTCGGGGTCCTGAAAGGGTGGGGATAGCGCTTAGGATAGGATGTAGCAACTTGTTTTAGTAAGCTTGACTGGTATTGAGTGGCTAGGGTTCTGCATTGAAGTGAGTGCACGGCATGTGTCCACATAGCTTGGCTTGGCAGGTTGCTGTGCTTGCCGGCGGCATTGTGGCTTGCAGTCAGCATATCGAATCGCAACAAACATCATGCGCATGTTGCTGGAAGATTGCTTGCGACGTCTCAGCAGCATCTAGCTAGACAGCATCATCACTGCCGTTCACGGCTTTTCAGAGCTCACCTTGCTTGCTCTGGTCACACTGCTTCTGCCCTAGCCGCCGCCTCAAGCGAAAGCCAGATTGTAAAGCCCATGCAGAGCTCCTAATGCGACCGGCTGATGCAAAGCTTGAAACTTTGGTCCAGCTCTGGATTCCTCTGTACCCCATCCCAGGGATTCCAAAAAAACCCACGCCGTTCCTTTTTTTCCATAAGCTCTTCATAGTCCCGTCTGGTGTTTCGTTTTAAGGTTTCAGGAGGTTGACCAGAACGAGGATCCCGCTGCCCCTTCCGCAATCCACGGGTCTTTGACGGGCTTTTTGAAGCGTTTTGCAGGCCAGGGGCGGCCCCGGTGGTGCCCTTTTAAACCGTTGTCAAGTTATGGGTTCCGTGCTGGAGGAGACAAACCGCTGTTGGGTTTAGGGTTTAGGGTTTAGGGTTTAGGGTTTCGGGTTTAGGGTTTAGGGTACTGAAGGAGGGAAAGGCATGCTGGGGAACTTAGTTCGCGAGCTCTCCGTGCCTCCTCTCAGCAGTTTGGGGTCAAGGAGAGGGCATGGCAAGGATTGTGACACTCAAGCCCCAACTCTGAACCAGCATCTAAACGTTCAGCCATATATGAAGTTGGAAATCCGATTAAGTCAGACATTTGTAAACCCTAGTCCCTACACCCTAAACTCTGAACCCTTTCTGACGCTTGGGCTTGCACGTCCGAACTCCGCCCTTTGCCGCAGAATGGCAAGGGCTCTGGCCAAGACGCCCTTCCCCGAGCATGTGCCACGGTTGAAGGTTTAGGGTTTAGGGGTTTCGGGGTGTAGAGATTTAGGGTTTAGAGGTTTAGGGTTTAGGGGTTTGGGGTTTGGGGAGACTTTCGACCATGTGCCACGCCCACTTCCCTATTAAGGGTAGTATAAAGGATGTTCTACGGTCAGTTTAACGGATATTCTAGGGGTAGTATAGGGGTATTCCAGGGGTAGTATAATGGTGGTATAGGGGTAGTGTAGGGGTATTATACGGGTATTGAAAGGCGAAAAAGAAGGGATCAAATGTTGCAAGGTGCTGTCTATAGCTTAAGGGTTTAGAGTTAGTATTATCAATACTAAAAATAACTTGGTTCTGGCTCTCGTACCCTACACATGAATATCCCAATATGTTAAGTTTCTCGCGCTCGGCACACGCAGGACAAAGCACTCATGGACGCGGGTGAAGCATCGTCAGAGTCCGACGAGGAGTCTCTTGCAAAGACCCTGAACCTTCCAACCCATTAGCTCCAAATCTGTAGGTTCTGGACCCTCAAACCCCACACCCTAAATCGGAAAATCCTACACCCTAGACTTGACACGCTACCTACATTGCAATCGTGACAGTCTAAGAGACTAAGGTTGTACTTCTTGTGCAAAGCCGATGCCTCTTATAATCCTGAGTCATAAACTCCGAGCCTTAAACATCCGAAGCACCTAACTTCGGTGTAGGGTTTAGGTAGAGGGTTAACCTAACCCTCGCACATACTGTGATTGCTTGTTGAGCGATGCGGGTCTAAGCCGTACTTGCCGTATTTGTTTTCACTTTGCTGTTCCCTGTTGCCTCTACACACCGGTTTACGGTTTGCAATCTTTTTTGGTTTCTGACATTCCAACCCTTAACCCTAAACCCTAAACCAGCATCCATCTTCGGGCAGCTTGGCTCCTTCGGGCTTAGGTTTCAGGGTTTAAGGTTTAGGGTTAACTCTAACATCGCATGTAGCACCACTTTACGGAGGAATCGTTTTTGCGTAGGGTCCTTGGGTAAGAAAATGAGGCAAGAGCCCCAAACCCAAAGCTCCTGCAGGACGCAGCCTTGGCGTGGGATCTTCCATTGTACGTGCGGCATCCGACGAAGGTGACTTTCAGCATGTAGGGTTTCTTTGTTTCAGGCTTTCTAAACCCTAAACCCTAACTTAAGAGTTTAGGCGTTTTGGGTTTTTCTGGTGCTATGTAGGGTTTCTTAGGGCCCGACGGTCCTGGGTGGACTTTTAGGGTTTCGGTTTCAGGCTCGAGGGTTTAGGGTTTAGGGGTTTAGGGTTTAGGGGTTTAGGGTTTAGGGTTCTTTGGGTGAAAGGCTTCGGGTTCCCGGGCAATGGGTTTGCCCCGTCCGACATCCCATCAAGGTCAACATTATTGCCCTTATCCTGTATGCCGCCCTTGGCATATGCGTGATGTCTTTCAAAGAGGACTGGACTTTCGTGACGTCCTTCTACGTCACGGTCCAAATTATCACTACGGTCGGCTACGGAGACATTGCTCCCACTGAGAGTGGAGAGCTCTTCGTGATATTCTACGTCTTGCTGGGCACAGTCCTCCTTGCAGGGCTGCTTGGCTCCCCAAGAGTTTACGGTTAAGGTTTAGGGTTTAGGGTTTTGGGTTCAGGGGCATCTGACACCCCCAAACCCTGCCAAAACCTCATACCTTATACTTTAACCAAGGGTTTAGGGTTTAGTTTAGGGTTTAGTTTAGGGTTCATTGGTCGGGGAATAGCCCTTTTGGGCTGAACATGTAATGCACCATCGAAGTGTCAAGGCCCCAATCCCAAACGCCTAGAGAACCACAGAGGAAAAAGCCTTAAATCTACCCTCATAGAAGCCATGTTAAAGGCACCCAAAACCCTAAACCCTAAACCCTGAAACCCTAAGCCCTGTATTTCCCTGAAGCCCTAAACCCTGAAACCCCAAGCCCTAAACCCTAAAGCCTGGAACCCCCCGAAACCGAATGAGGCTCTTGGATCGCGTGACGGAGTCGCTCCTGCAAACCTCGGATCAACGGCTCCAGGAGTCCCTGGAAGCATTTCGGACCCGCATGGTGACCCGGCCCTCCCTGTGGCTTAGGGTTTATAGGGTTTAGG